GCCTGATCAGAGAGTATTGTTGTAATCAGGGTAGTTGTGAACTGCCTTAATTCTCTGGCTTCTTCCTTGTGACCTGCAAGGTTTTACTGCCAAAATTAAAAAAAAACCAAACTCAAAAACATGAAGTAGACATAGCTCTGAATATTATTGCTATTACTGCTGGATTAAAGGTAGAGAAGGCTAGCGTGATGTTTGCGTTCATGCTATTTCTAGGTTGTCATTGTCGGTGGAGCCATTATAACTTAAATAAGTAGAAGGCTTTAACTGTGTTAAAGGGACTACACCTTTATTAAAAGGATGAAACACAAGAACCTATTCAAAATAATTTCTAAGTTGCTGCTAGGATAGCTCTGGTGTGAAGTCCTGCCGAAAGCTAACAAGGCTTCTCTGTGCAGATGAAAAGAGTCATTTCCCTGGAGCAGTCAGTGGGCTGGGCACATAACTGAGATCTGCAGAGATGTAGGGATGGGGAGCTCATAGGATTGAAGGGTACAAACGCCGGGAATGGAAACCCATGATTCTGGGTGGGTAGAATCATGCCCATCTTAGAAAACACATTTTTGCACATTTTGTCTCCTGGGAAACAGCAGTTGTGCTCAGGACTTTTTTTTTTTTTTTGAGAGGTTGTTTTTAGGAACTTTTTTTTAAAAGTATTTTTTGAATGGAGGACAGTAGTGAGACGGGATAAATGAAAGGTAGTGGCACCTAGGATGGCAAGGACAGAATGGCAATAGAGATGGAGAAAAGGGAGCAGGTCTGGAAGAAGTGATTAAAGTATCATGAGTGAGACACCTAGATGCGCAAGCAGTAAGAGGATATTTTTAAGACAGAAGGAAGATGTGTATTTGGATATTTTTTTAATTGTGAATAACCAGTGCCTGTTAGCTGTCTCATAGGAAAGCTGTAAGCAAGACAGAGCAAGGGGAATTTTACTTATAGTGAAGCTATGATTTAGTACTACCCTTGCTCTTAGATGGGCACAAAATAAAATTACAGCCTTGGAGAGATTCACAGTACAACAGCTAGCACACTTCTTATCCTGTGATTTAAAAAAAAAAAAAAAGAAAAAAAAAGAAAAAAAGAACCCTTTTTGGCAACCAAGAAAAAGTAAAAAGCCAAACTATCTCTGTGTCAGAGACCTGGTAATATTCACTGGCTCAAACCGTGGCTGGTGGCTTGGCAAGTACTGAAGGTTGAGCATTGCACATAATAGACTGTGTTTTATGTGCTTGTCTTACTTATGAGCCTAACAGAGTGTATAATTAATACTGAAATAAAGTGTAGTGGGGATTCATATATTTATATTGTCTGTTCATTTCACAATGGAGCGTGCATCCTGATTGGAAAGCCCAAGCTCTTGCTAAGTTTTAATTGCCTTCCCCTGCTGATCCTACGGTAAAGGTAGTTGGCTAATTAAGGGTGGTTTCTAAATCAGGATTCTGTACACACAAAATACCCTATTATTTTCTCATCTGTCTAGACAGGTCACCTAATCCAGTATTAAAATGCTGAAACAGGAGGGGAAGCCGTTTTCCTGAAGCTTTCATGTGAAGAATTAAACGAGTTTGCAGTAGCTGGGATTAGGAAAGCTGTACTTAAAGAACTGAGCTAAACGGTCTCAATTTCTGTAGGATGTGGATGGCAGAAAAGATGTTTCTCTACTGTGGCAATTAAAATGCATGCATCAAAGTGTTATCTGGACACTGGCTGAGAAGTGGAGAGTGTTGTAGAATGTCTATGGGTTGTAATAAATCCTGAAGGCATTTCTACTAAGTTATTTCAGCTCTGGGTTTATAATAGCTCACAAATGAGGAAGGACTAGCCAAATTAAGATTTATTTCTTCCTGAAGAATAGGTGACTAGGATCATACATGAAGGTCCTTAACACTGAGGAGAACGTGAACAGGGAATGACTATTCAGTGTTTCTTACAACATATTTTTGGGGGATGTCCTCAATTTTCATTGGGTAGAGGTTTTGAAACCACCAAAAGGAGATTAATATTTCTGTAAGGTTAATAGACTCTGGATCTCCTCACCACAAAACTGTTGTGAAGGCCAGAAGCATAGAGGGATTCAAAATGGAGTTGGCAAATGCAAGTGGGAGAAGTCCCTGGGGTTCTCCTCAGAGGTCTGGACATTAGCTCTACCATACAATGTCCTTATTGGACTTACTGCTGGGAGCTGGTACTGCCAGGAGAGGGTTGTTCCTCTGTATACCCCCCAGACTCTTCAACGTGACTTGCTGTGGCAGTTCTTATGTGGCCTTTAATAACTGTGCTGCTTTGCCCTTCATATCCCAGTGGTGGAATTCCCTGGAGCTCTGAATACGGAGATCTCCGTTGTCAGAGCCCATCTTAAAGATCATAAAAGAACCCAAGGAAAGATCACTTCTTATCTTGTTAGATTAAAAGTCAATAAATTGACGTCCTTGGGAGGACTGGTGATGGACAGGGCCCAAGAAATGTAGTGGCTTCATTCAATCTCAAGAGTATATGGTGGAAAAGACATTCTTTCATAGGAAAGCTGCTTCCCATTGTCCTGCACTGGTAGATAAAGTGCTGCTTCCTTTTGTTGGTTGGGTTAACTAGGATGTTGTCCCTCATCTGTTTGTGTGAGTCTGTTGAGGAGGGGTCCTGCCTTTCATGTCAGCCTCTAACTGGTGGGGATTTAACCTACACATCAAGGACCACTTCCTGACTAACTCCTGAGGGATGGCCCCCATACCTGGAGTGTCGTGTCCTGTTTATCTTAACCCATTCTGAAAATCCACTGTCTGAGTGAATTGTGATTAAAAAAAAAGAATAAAACACTCCTGTCCCAGATGAACAAAGTCCACTGGAGGAATGAATCAGCACCAAAGCCAAGTAGAGACAAGTCTCAAGGTGCCTGCAACTGGAAACTTGAGCCATCTTACCAGCTGCTGTAGGGAACAACCTTTGCATCCTCCACTCCCCACACCTTTACAGTTTCTTGTGAATCCAGCTTGTTCAGAAGGAAGTCCAGTGCCTGGTTTTGTTTCTAGCATGGCTGTGGCCAGAGCTGGCTCAGTGTGACCTGTTCCATTGTTCAGTGGCAGTTGGAACAAGCTGTTCAGGCAGAGCAGGCAGAAGCAGAGTTTGTTACAGGTACTGTGCTCATCTCTCTTCCAGGTGAGCCCAGACAGGGCGGATTGAGCTGTTCCAGTTGAAACTAAACATTTTCAAAAGGATTGTTAAGAGCTCCAATAGAACCAGTCTACTTTTTATACTACTGCTTAAATCGCTAGTGCCTGCAGTCTGGTGTCACCTCTGTTACAGACAGCAGGAGATACTTGTTCATCCTAAGATCCTGGAGAAAAAGAGACTCTCCAATTGCTCTCTACAACCACCTCCCTGCAACCCCCTTTCAGGTAGGGATTGGTGTCTTCTCTCAAGTGACAAGTGCCAGGGGAGGTTTATCAGGAAAAATATCTTCGTGGAAAGGATTGTCAAGCATTGGAAGGGGCTGCCCAGGGAGGTGGTGGAGTCACCATCCCCAGAGGGATTTAAGAGACATGTGGGTGGGGTGCTCAGGGATGTTGTGCAGTGGTGGGCTTGGCAGTGCTGGGTTAACAGTTGGACTCGATGATCTTAAAGGTCTTTTCCAACCCAAATGGTTCTGTGATTTTATGAAACCACTATTGCTTTGTACCTTACTACTGCACATTATTGTATATTGCAATAGTCCAGTAGTGTCTTAAGCACAAAGGTTTGACTGTTCTGGTGATGCAAGAGAGAAACAGGAGTCTCTGGCACTGGCCAAGTGTTGGGCGAACTGGGGGAGAACTCAGAAGGTGTATACAGAAGCTTGACAGCAGGTAGAGGCAGCATGCTGACTCCTTGGATTTCTCCACATTCAATAAGTGGTGGGTAGGAAGGACGGGAAGGCTAGGAATTATGTGTGTGAGCTTTATCCAAGTCATTGGGCACCAGCTGATTCAAGGGCCAGTGAATCCTGGGCTGTATATATATCCTTTTCAAGTCAGAACTGCTGTCTTCTTGGGTCTGGTGGAGTTTGGGTCTCCGTACCCTGTTCCTTCATGCTTTTGAGGACAGGTGTGAACCTACCCGGAACCAGGTAACTAGACATTAACATTGGTGTAATTAGACATCTTACACTGGTGATCCCTGATAAGGTTTAACGTTAACCGTGGACTCAAGCTGTGTACTAAAATAAGGTGATAGGACCTGAGAAATAAGGGTATACACCCTTAAAAAGATGGCTTCTAGGAGTTTGCACCGAAAAATAGGATATTGCTTGGAGGAGCATTTGGATGCATGGGTCAGTGGAGGTAGAATTGGACTAGTCCGGACTGGTAGGGGTTGGAACCTCACAGGCTGAGGCTGATCCTGATGTGGCAGGACAGTGTTGGCTCCAGGGGCTGCATCATGTGGCTGGGCAGTTTTGAACTGGCTCTTGTTGGCTTTCATCAGTTGAAACGTTTTTCCGCCTGTGCCGTTTCTGTAATGATTGGTTTGATATCTGATCTCCATGCTTTAAGCTAAATCCTCTTTACCTACTCCCATAGTTATAGGATCTAAAGCTTAGGTTTTGTGGTTGCCACCGAGGCAAAGTGAAGCTTCATTGCTGTGTTGTGGAGCTTGTCAGCACCGGGCATGTGGTTTTCTTTTTCTTTTTCTTTGGTTTTTTGAAGTCTTTACCACAAAATTGCCACTTCTGGAAGTTATATAAAGAGATGGGAGTTTGAAAATCCTTTGACTTTTCCGGAAATAGTCTACATGGTACAAGAGGGTGGAGATTTCTGGAGTTGCCAGTATTGGTGCTCCAGGCCAAAAAATCGTTGCATCCCTATTTGACCTCAGTTATCCTTCCTATGCATCCCCTTTTGAAGGCTGGGTCTAGTTCACAAGTTTTCTTTGTTTTCTGCTGGACTTTCTTTTTAGACTTCCTTAGGGTTTTTAACTGCAGAGGATAAGTTTGAGCTGAGTTCCCTGAACACGCTTGTTTGCTTTTTCCATAGGTTCCTTAGAAAGAGAGCTTGGACGGCATGCAAAGTTGTGAAATATCTGCAGACAGCACGGATGATCCTCTTAGTAGTGGCCTACGGAGAAAACGACAGCCTCGAATAGTAGTTATCGGTGCTGGGCTTGCAGGCCTGTCAGCAGCGAAAGCGCTCTTGGAAAGCGGTTTCACGGATGTAACTATCCTTGAGGCGACTGACCGAATCGGAGGCCGCGTGCAAAGTGTGAAACTTGGTAAGAGCAGCATTTTGTGAGTAATGCGTTGGGCTTGCTTTTTTTCTACTGGCAAGGCTTTGTGTTGTCATTAGATTAATTTGACCTTGGGAATGTGCTTTTTAGTCAATGTGCACATGCAAAAGATTATTTGAGGTGTGATGTTGTCAGGAGTATAAATCCTTGGGCTCCTTTCAGGGTGGGTGGGTGAATCTGAGCTATCTTGTGCATCTGTTCTGAGGGAGGGCTGCTGCAAAATCATGTTTCTAATAAAATAAGGATATTGGTGATTGTTCTTACTCATATGGGAACAGCTCTGTGTAACAGGTCTGTGAGAAATATTCCATGATTAAATAACCATATTGAGACAGTTTCCATTGATGTCCTCAAGCTTGACTCTTGAGTAGGAGCAGTCAGTAAATCTCCTGGCTAGTGAACGGCCGTTTCTCAGTGACTTACATCACTTGTAAAGGGGCAAGCTCCAAGCTATTCTGTTTCACAAACAGCCCCGTTCACTTCCCTAGAACTAATTTACTGTGTAGGGCACTACCCACTGTGAATCAGGCTGCTGGAAAAACCTTTTCAATGTATCCTTTCATCCTGATTTGCAGCTTTCCTACCCCTGTAGCTTCCTTTCCGAGTGTGTAATAAAGGTGCAGACACTAGATGTTTTAATCCGGTGTCAATTGGAAGGGCTTGTAGTGTCTGTAAATGCAAAACTACTGGAACAAATGTTACCCTTTGCAGCACTGGAGTCAATGAAACGTTCCCTGGTATCTAGAAGGGCATTGCCTGTCTCTTCTCTGCAGGAGGCAAAAAGCTCTTTGCTTTTACTGAATTGCCTTCCTGATTCCAACTGACTAGTTTCAGATCCCACTCTGTGTTTATTAACTTTGGCCTCTTGCTGCCCTCCATCCTTTTTATTTGTCAGGTGCTTGTATCCCTTACTATATTTTACTCTATAAACTCGCAACAGTAAACAGAGAGTCCTATGAAATTTCAGAAGGGAAATGAATGGAAAGGCAGTTGGACAAATCTAATCTCCGGGGTTTGAATAAGGCACTTTACGTCTGTGGAGACTTGCCACAGAGGTTAGGGTGGGAAGTGTGTCCTTTAGCCACACTACGCTGTATTTAAAATATCCTGAATCATAGAATGGTTTAGCTTGGAAAGGACTTTAAGACCATCTTGTTCCAACTGTGAGAGGAGGGGAGTACTACAGACCTGAAATCTTCAGGGTGCAATGTATCATTTTGCCAGTGGACCTAGTTTTGTTGTACTAGTGTTGAGACCAATTCTCTCACTTTTGGAAACCTTCAGCAGTTACTCCTCTCTTTGCCTTTGCTGGGAATGCACCTCCTGTTTGTTAACACTTCTTAACTTACGTGAGACAAGGCAGGCTTTTCAGTCTGGTGGAGATCTTGCAGCTTGTAGATGTAACTGTTACTTGCAGAGCAGGGGACTGGAATCCAAAGTGTTGATCTTTCAATACCTTTCTTAAACCTACAAGCTCTCCGTCTTCTCTAAAACGATCAAAGTTACACTCTGTGGGTATGGACTGCAGTGCTCTCCCATGTTCTGGCCTCTTCTGCGCTTTGCAGGTTGCCCTTTAGCCAAACAGTTTTTGAGCTCTGGGTGGTGAAGTCTCCAGATGTGGCACATACTCAGAACCTCCTTATTCCCTGTCATGAGAGCAAAAAGGCAGCATGATTCTGGGCTGTTTTCTCCTTCTGTGCTGCCTGAAGCAGCAAGATTGCACCTGGGGCATGCAAGACATGCTCATTTCTCAGAACTGGCTGAAGGTTACAAAAAACTTGTTACAGAAGTGGTTATTTGGGATCTTCAACATGAGACCACTTTGATCTGCTTGTCTAAATGGCATTTAAAAGTTAACACTTCTCTGGCTGCTCCCCTGTATGCACACATGATTAAAGTTCCTGTGTAAATCTTCAACAGAGCTACCGTGGCACCTTCTCAGGATTATATCCTAATACTTCCACTCTCACCGAGCCACACTGTGTCTCGCAGGGGGACAGTATTTTCCCTCTGCTGAGTAAAGCATGTTGCTACACAGCACATGGGGAATAATTTGGATTTTCAGAGGTTTGGCTCATCATTTCTAGCACAGGTGAGGCAGAGGGTTTGCATGTTCGTGGTTGTATGAGTGTTTCTTGTACATGATCTGTAACATCTGTATCCACTGCAGATATTTCACGCCAGGATGCCCAAGAAATAGTCAGGGCTGCAAAGGGAAATGTGAAAAGTTCCCGTGCGTATTCAGAAGGATTGATATGCAATCTGTGCGTTCCTTTGGAAAATTGCTGGTATGGTATGTTGTTGTGTATAGTCCTGCTTTCTTTCCTGCTTGTGTCTCAGTAATTGCATTCACAGAGTAGGAAGAAGATTTTTTTTTTTTTTCCCCCTAGTTTTTGTTGTGTTGGATGATTCATTCAAGGTAGATTAATATGGAAAATAAAATCTTTTAAGGCCCTGGAATTAAATTAGCTACCTCTATTTAAAAACATGTTATTTAATTTTACGCTTTTAAATAATTCATCATGTAACTTACACGAGGTAACAACCGGCTTATCTGCTTGGTAGTGATGATAGTGAGTGAGTTTGTAAGTCTTACAGGCAAGAGTGACTATTTTTAGTTTGTTGGTATTTGATTATATTCCACACAGCTACTGTAAATGGAATTTGAAACACATCGTAATTGTTGCTGAGCACCAATACAGTGGGAGCCTGCTGGCTTATTTTTTTCTTCCAAAGATGAGGTGCCCTATAAATAAGGGCTATATACAGGAGGATTGTTAGTGCAGCAGAGAGCAAGCTCCTGACATAAGTTTTTTTGATCTGGCATGTGATGACTCGCAGGAGGATTGCATTAACAAGGTGACTGTCACATGCAGTATTTATGAGCTTTGTACCTTCGGCTGCCAACGTACCGCAGTCATTTCCGCTGGGCTGAGTGCTCTGTGAGTGTATTGTGGCGCCTTAAATATTCACACGTTTGTGACTTGATGCCGCACGCTCTGAAGCGCATGCTTTGTTTTAGGTACACGTAGAAACCCTGTGCTCTCAAGTCCTGTAATGCGTATGTTGAAGGGCAATCATCATGCCTCCTTAGTGACGTAGTTGCCTACTTGGAAAACAAGATGTGTGGAGCTTTCCTTGGAGGTAGTGTCTCAGCTGGAGAGCAGCGTTTCTTGGAGCTTCCACCCGTTAAACTTGGCTGCGTTGTAGCACAGTGCTGCAGTGTCTTTCTGTCTGAGCATATATTTACATGTTAAACAGTATCCGATGACTGGTAATGGCACGATCCTTTCTTCATCAGGCAGGATCCTATTAACTCTCCCACTTAATCAGGCAGTCGCACACCTCTGCAAAGCGAGCTGCACGGTAAGACGTCGGCTGGGAGAGCACAGCTTTGGCAGACTTCAAAACACTCAGCTTTGGACTTGGGACAGTCTCTAAAAATGTGGGTGGAGGATGTGACCCAAGCTTATATTTAGCCCCTCATTTCAGTTGCTCAACATCTCCCTATGCTATCAGCCCCATCGTGGCAGCGCTGGCTTAGGGGCAGTTCGAGTCCTGGTGCAATCCCTGTTAGTTATAAGGAAGGGAGAGAGTGATGCTGATCAAACCCTATGTTTTGCAGGCGAAGAGTAGAGGTGATGAAGACTAAATGCGTTTGGTGTTTAACCTGACAGTGCAACTTTTTAAAGAACCTGATTTACATTTTCAAAGGCTTAAATAATAAAACATAACCTATTTACTCATTTGGGGAATGGAAATGCATTTTTGTATTGCAGTTAATCTGAGATCTAGTTGTAAAGAACATGCATTTTTAATCATAGGGCAAGGTTCAGTATGCAGGCCGATGTTGCTATTCCAGGGCAATCCGGATTTTCCTACATCTTGCTGTTGTAGATGCTCTTCTTACTGTGTATGGGTATCTATTCCCTCCTCTTGAATACAGTGGGTATTTGAAATCTTTAAGTACTCTAATCTTTCCCTGCAGTGGTAATATTTTTGTAAGTACCCTTAGCTGTCCTTTATGCAATAGTGCAGCGTGGCTTCTTACAGATCTTTTCCTTCCCACACCCCCATCACTTGTATGTGGCTTGTGCAGCAACAAGTGCGCTACGTTCTCTGCTGTCACGTTCTTAAGCGCAGGTTTAGAGGTGCTGATTTAGAGAGGCCCAGTAACACAGATAGAGCAGCGAGCAGCAACCGTGGTAAGAACTGGGAACCTAGAAGACTGTGAATTCTGCCTTAAGGTGTGTCACTGATGTATCTTTATTGGAAACATCCCATCCTCCCAGCACTATCTAACTTGTACCCCAAAGGACTGCTTTGAAGAACACTGATGTTACCCTTGTCTAATGGAGAAAGCTCACTTAAGTGATGTTCCGACGTCTTGTCCTTGGGCAATTGTTCTGCTTTTGCACATGTATATTTTATTTAGGGTTGAGCGTGACGACCTTTCAGGAAAATGGGCTTCAATAACTAGTTTGCTTGGTCTACTGTCCCACAGGGCACGCCACTTTTGAACTGGGAGCTACGTGGATTCATGGTTCACATGGAAACCCAGTCTATCATCTAGCAGAAGACAATGGTTTACTTGAGGAGACTACTGATGATGAGAGAAGTGTTGGACGGATCAGTCTTTACTCCAAGAATGGGGTGGCTTATCATCTTACCAACAATGGGCAAAGGATCCCGAAAGATGTGGTTGAAGAATTCAGTGATTTATACAACGAGGTTGGTATTTAGCTGCTTTGTCAGGTTGTAGATTTGACTGGAACACTGGGACCCCTTGACAGTTAGAATGTTCCAGGTACTGGACAAAGGTAGAAAATCTTTAATGTCTTTTACTTCTTTACAAAAAATCAACACTTAGCTTGCTCACATTTGCTTAACTATACCCCATTTGTCCCTGATGTGGGATTAACTCACTGTTGTTAGGAAAAGTAATCTCTCCACATTTGTCATCAATTTAATCACTTCCAGCAACTATTGCTGAGGGGATCCAGTCATTTGCTCTAGAAAGTTACTACTTAATTAAAAGAGTAAAGGAGGGATTGCATTGCTAAACAAGGTAGAATGCAAAACCTTAGCAACAACCAGATAAATATTGTAGCTCTGTGACATTTTATTGATGTTATAAATACATTAGTGTGCTGTATAGTATGCCAAAATCTGTGCAGTATCATAGGAATTGCAAGTTTTCTTGTATCAGAAGAAAAGGAACAACTTTTCTGGTAGATCCAGACCAGCACAGACTTCGGTTTAAGTTTATTTTAACTCCTTTTGCTCAATGTTCAGTGATGTCCTCTTCAGTTGTGAAGAAGCCTTTTCATACGAAGGCCTCAGTATGTGACAGAAGAGGCAAACCAACAAAACCCCAAACAGCTACAGATGCAGAACCTAAAAATACGAAATAGAGGCCTGAAAGATGGAAACGAAGATGTGTTTAGTGGAAAGAATAACCTCTGCAAAAGAAGCAATAAGCCGGTGTTACACTCATAGACAAAAAGGGCCAAATTTACTTTCGTGTAACTTGGTACTGATGCTGTCATCCTAGTGTTTCTTCCAGAGGGAAAACAGGGTTTCTTACTGATTTGTGTGTTAAACACACGTGAATGATTGGTAGTAGCTCTAAGCTGCTTTCAGCAGGGCATTTGGCCTTAGCTAGTGAGGTGAAAGAAGGAGGCTTGCCAAAATTAATTGTAATTATTCCCCATGTTTTTTTGTATTGTCACTCATGAAGTACATTTAGTGGGGTCAATGCAGAATGACTTGGCCTCCAGGTGATGTGACCTCTCAGTGGGTTATATGAAATAGAGTAACACATTATTTTTGTTGGGCTTTAGCCACGCCTAAAACCTTCACGTTTTCATTTGACAGTGAACTTTGCCAGTGTTTGACGCTTGGCTAAGCACACACCAGATTCAGGTTACTCTTGCATACTTTATGTTTAAAATTATGCCCATGAGCCTTTAGAAAGCCACCAGGAGGAAAGTCACTGCAGTCTGTAAAGAATTATCAGGAATTGAATGTGGAGTGGAGTTTTTTTTTGTTTTGGTGGTTGTTTTTTTTGGTTTTTTTTTTTTTTTTTTTTGCTTGGAAGGAGTTTTAACACTGTCCTGGGGCTTTGAACTGGAATCTGCAATGAGATGGCACCAAATTTGAAAGGGGTAGCAGGAATTTCAAATAAACTTCATTGTGGAAGGAATTTAGCAACCCCTGGCAGGGAGGGAGTTCCTGGACAAAGGCAAGTGGAGATAATTCATCTGGACAACTTGTTCTGTTGAAACAATGTTCTGTTGAAAACAGAACCGGAGCCAACCAGGAAAAAGACAGGTGAGATGTGTGTGGAGCAGGATTAACAGCAGCAAAGATTAGAAAAGAGAGGGAGAGTATGTGAAAATGCTGCAGTGAGCAGCATTATTTCTGTAAATGGAACGGTGCCAAACTGCATGCAGTGCTCGGTGATCGCTCCGTCTCAGCGACGACAGGAAAATCTCCAAAGGGAGAGTGTCAGAGGAAAACAGACTCTGAAATGAGAGAGAATACAAAGATGAGAGCTACTTAGCTTTGCGATACAGCTGATAAGATAAAGGCTGTAACAAGGTGCCAGTGTTTTAGAAATGATTAATTTGGTGAATCTACCCTTCCTTTTAAAGTAAGAAAAAGGGGGCAGCCAGTGACATGAGAGAACAACACATTAAAAGTTAATCTTCTTTACGCAACATGTAATTAGCTTATCGTTGCCACAGGGTATCTTTATTGCTAGGAGACAGAGAAGACTTTCACATTTATGGAGGGTAAAAATGTCTACAGCTACTCTCTGCGATAAAAAATATGTAAGGGACAGCTTAAGCCAAGAGGAGGACATCAGCCAACCTCTAATTGCTGTTGCCGGGGACGTGCTTTCTCTGTTTCCCTTCAAAGTGTGCTGAAATTCCTTGCAGAGGCAGCTCACGGTTTTGTTGAGCTGCTTGTCCCAGCCTCTTTGGGGTGTCAGGTTGACACTTGAATGATTTTTAAGACAGCTGACTGTGGGTTCTTCCCTGCACTGCTTAGGAAAAGTGGGAATTAAGGTGAGCTATGTGATCTCCTGAAAATCTCCAGTTAAAACAGACTGTGTGAAATACAAGTGCCCTGGTGGGTGGACTGTCGGGAGTATGTGCAGCTGGTGTGTGGATTTGGGCACCTTCTCCTCTGGCATAATGTGCAGAGAATGTTTCTGTTTACAGGTGCTGAGTCAGCCTGGTGCATTTCTGGTTTGCCATTCTTCATTCTTCTTCTTTTTTTTTTTTTTCTTTTTTACTAGAGGCCCTTCCTTTTTTTTTTTTTTTTTTTTTTTTTTTTTCCCATGCTGGCTGGCCAATACTCTCTTGCTTTAACTGGTGATGAAATGGGTGCTGGGAGGAACAGTAGGAATTTGGAATTCAGTTCGGAATCTCAGTTTTTTTGAGGAGGCAGGTTTTTTGAGAGGTTATGTTTATAATGTCTTGAAGTTGTCCAGGATAAAAAAAAACATCCTACAGATCACCAAATCCTGAAGTCAGGCTCCTCCTCTGCCTCATAGGAGATGCCAGACCCTTCTCAGAGCCTCGGGGCAGCCTGCTGTTAGCAGTCCTACCATCATGTCACCTATCAGTCTGCATTGCCTCCTGTAGAAGAAGCTGAGATAGCAAAGGCCGTGGCACACACTGTGCTGACTGGAAAAAAAAAAACCAAACCCAACAACCCAAAACAACCAGCAACCGCAGGGAAGGAGCACTGGCATTAACAGTGGAAAATGTAGTCCTGAATGAACAGGGCTAAATCTGTTACGGTTTCAAACGCCTGACCTCCCCTGCACAGCCGGCTTGCTTCCCAGGCACTCACACGCTGCCCTTCTTTCCCTGCAGCAGCTGCCATGTGCTTGGGCTCGAGCGTATGCCTTCAGCTCTGCCTCTCCATCTGTATCTCTCTAGCCCCAGTCAGCCTGTCGTCTGGACACCAAACTGTAGTGAATGCAAAGTGCAGAGGGTCTCCCTCGAGTGTTTCACGTGATATGTGGAGCCACTGAAGCTGGAGCCCAGCAAGGCGAAGTCTCTCCTCGGCATGCTGTGTTCTCCTGGTGCGAAAGGCCAAGGCACCCCAGTACCTCCTTTGCCTCGCTAGTTCATTTGGAAAGTCCTTACGCTTTTTCCAGGCACTTATCCAATCTTTTTTGGCTGGCTTCTTCTACTTCAATACAAGTTTTGCTTCTTTTTGTTTGCAGTAGCCTGAATTCTTAATAGCTGTAAGGATGCCTCACAGAAGCCTTTATTTGGTTACAAGAAAGCCAGCAGTAAGTCTGCTCAGCTCTTCATTTCTGTAGCAGAAAGGTCCCTCTGGGAGGCTGTCTTCACTGAGAGGCTGTTGCACTGCATTGAAGTCTGTCAGGATGTATCACAAGCTTGTGACCAAGGTGACCCGAATCCTCCCCCGTGAGAGCGCTAGAAAACTGGGCGGTGCCTCCAAGGAAGGTCTCCAGCCCTGCAAAGCAGCTACCTGGATTTCCAGCCACACGTTGCCTAGCAATACACCATGAGGAAGAGCACCCTGCTGTGGGCAGGACAGCTCTCCAGCCACTGTTGTTTTAAGACTATCCTTTGACCATGTAGTGTGAGGGGCTGGCACTGCTCAGGGTCATCATCAGTCCATTTGGTCAGCCTCTCAAAGGAAGGGGGCACCAGCGTTGGAACATTCCCTGGGGTCTGATGTTCATGGCACGTATTCATGATCTTCCCACCTTTCTCTCCACTCCTGCTAGGATAACTGGGGGAATCCTGAGGCTGGATTTTGGCTTTTGCCTGCTTGTATCACATCTGCATGACCCTCAAAGACGTGACAGGAGCGTTACCTTTAAGGGTAACGTCCGCAGCTTCAGCTGTGTGTGCGTATAACTGCTGGGAAAATGTGAACAGGGACACCCCATCTCAGAGTTGCTCTTCTGTCCCTGCCAAGTCCTCATTTCCCTCTCCAGAGAGGTATTTAAGGACAACTCCCAGGTGTTAGTGAAGGGGAGGTGGTGAGCTTGACAAGTTAATGCAGATGAAAAATCACACTGCTTTACCTGCCCAAGAATTTCAGTCTTTCAGGGAGCCTGATTTAGAAAAGGTGCCTATTTTTACTTGGGCTTTTCAGTAAGTATGTAGTCCCTAAAGACCTGCTTCACAGGAACCCTCCCTTGAACAATCAGCTAATTAATGGCCTTGTTATCTGTCAGCTTTCTCCTGTGTGCTGCACAGCTTCTGGGGGAGGGATGCAGCCAAAGAATGACAAAGTTTTCCACCCTTCTCACCCCCACCCTGTGTTGGGCTCGGTGCCATCCCCAATTAAGCTCCAGTGCCTTGTCTTGCGTTATCTTAGAAAGCAGGACCAAAGGGCCACCGAGAGTCACCATTCCCTCCCTGACCCTCTATTGCACTGACAGATGTCTGACCTGGTAACAGCACGGGCCTATCTCTGTCGTCGTTTTTTTTACTGACCGGGGATTAAATCACTGCAGTTTTTAAGCCAAGTAAGGAAAAGACAATGCTACGGATTGTCACCGGTGCTGACAGGAAGGACCGTGGATTGGGATGTGCTTTCCTGACCTCCTTCAGTGCTGAGAAACTTCTTTATTTAGATTTGTTCTTCCTAAGAGACTGCCTCTTCCTGTGGTGGAGGAGCACGTATGTAGTAAACATGCGTAGGTGGAAGCCTGTAGGTAAGTGAGAGGACATCCATGGGTGGCACCCACCTTCTCTGCAGAGACCCCGGTGGTGGGATGCCCCAAAACTGGTCGGAAAGAAGACAGAAGATGTAAGCTGAAGTAAAGCCATTGTAAGGTTATGGCCATTCAATTAACTCCTTTTAATTTCTGACCTTTAGACCCATTTCCTTGCAGGATCGTATGTAAACCCTCGGAACTCAGGAATTAGAATGGATAGTTGCTTGAGATATTCTGCGTCTTTTGCTTCTGCAGGTGCAGACAGGCTTTTGGGGCCAGTTGCTCTGCCCAAACCCAGGGGAGTGAGAAGCGATTAGGTCATTGTGCTGGGATGTGAGTTTGCCAGGGGTAGGAGCTGGGAGCTGGTGCTGTCTGTCTTGTACTCTTTCTTCCTTCCTGCTCATTTCAGGTCTGCGGTAACAGAAAAGGAAGATCAGTCTGGGCTGTACCTGGTGTACTGTCCTTGCTGATGGGCACGGTGATCTCAGTTTGGATACATGGGTATTCTGTAGGGTTAACTAGAAAAGCAGCAGAATCTTTCAGGGGGTTCTTGATGCTACCTTCCACCAGGCTCTTTGAAATAAAGCCCACTTGAACCCTCTCAGGAACCCTCCTGTCATCACATCATGATGAAATGATTGAAGGAGCATGTGTTTTTAAATCTCACAAATGCCTATTCCCAGTGACTTCAGAGGTGGTTCCATAGGCATGATGGTGCTTGCCCTTAATATGAGCAGTTTCTCACCTGAGGAAGCAAAGACAAAGTAACTCCAACTCCTGACAGTACAATTCTGCTCCTACTTAATTAGAAATATACCTTAAATGGGACTTCTAGTGAACCTTTTCCATAGTTTTTTACACAGAATTTTTTCCCTGTGTGTGTACATTAAATACGTTTTGAGTGACTTTTTGATTCTTTTATTATGACAAAGTATGTCTTAATGTAAGGCTTGCCATTGTTTCTGTTCTTGCTTCTTGCCTACAACAGCCTTGTCTTCTGTTCTTCAAATGGTTCAGCACCCCCAAGAACAGAAAAGCAAGGAAATAACAGGGATTCTGAGAAAAGATAACGAATCCTGATGGTGATCATACTTATCTGCTGTCTGATTGATGGTCTGACATACACAGAAAGACTTTTCTTGATGTTTACAGCACAGGGCACTGTGTGTTTCTGCTCTTTTCTCTGTTGGGCAATGAAGAATACAATGGTTAATAAAAACATACCCATGGCTCACTTATCCTTTTGGCCAAATGGTAGCTGGGTTTTAGCACAGCTTTGCTTGTCTTGTGAATGTGTTATCTGCTTATAGTGTGCAATCAGCTTATGAAAGCTGAGCTGCATTGCGCTGACGCAAGGTCTATGCAGCTTGTACTTGCTGGAAGTGGTTTGGGCATCAGAAATCAATGGACCTGAGAACCGTGGGATGTTGAAACTGCCAAAGAGCTTTTGGAACTGGGGGACAGAGACGGCACGATTTCCTTTCCTTTGCTGGAAGCCTTTGTTTCACACAGGGTATTGGTCTTCACCTTTCTTGTCTGCAAATCTCCTTGGAAAGGCTGTGTCCCAATCACTGTCTACAGTTCTCTTCTGTATTCAGCAGTTCCTGTGATTACTTTTCTGTTTTTGTGGTTTATTTCCCCCCTTTTCTTTCGCTTATTTTTCAATTAGTTCCTTCCCCATCCCTTACTTGTCCTTATCTACTCTCCTTCCTCCATTTACTCACAGACCTGCTCTCTCTTTCTCCTACCACTGCCATGCATTTCTCATCACTACCTCCCCTTCCACATCATCCCTCTATTTTTGCCTCCATAAATTCACCGTACTCCTAAAACCCAAGAGAAATTTAAGCTTCTGGGCAGCATCAGGATGGGAAGAAACTAAAACATGGTGAACTAGCCATATCGGCAGAGAATGAGAAGCTGTAGGAGCCTTGGAAGGAGAGGCTGCCAGAGTTCTGCCAGCTTCCTACCAACCATGTACTTTTGAGCTGAACTCCTCAGCATGTCCAAATAATCATTCTCCAAAGAAGGATCATAAGTTGCAATCAAACCATCTTTGACAGGAAAAACTCACCAAGCAGGGATCTACTTGTGAGAGTACTGTGCACCCCTGTGGCATCATATAAACGAGCAGGTGACTCACGGGGGGCAAACAAGTAATTAATGGGATGAGCTGCACTTCTAGGAGGCATGTTTAAAAAGCTTTCCTCTGTTAAAAGATTCGTTGGAGTTTTTTTCCATTACACTGCTCTGTAGAGGTGCTCTGCAGTCTGCACTTGCCTGGTTGAACCACAGGTTTTAGCTACTGAAAATGGCAGGACTGCCTTGCCTGGTCTTCTGCACGGCATAGAACAGACATGCTGAATAGTAAGTTAATAGTCACTTACTGACTTTGCCTGGAGGGAAGTGTTGCTTTCTGTCTTCTAACCAGCGTGGCGCTGGGTGCAGGTTGACATGGCATTGGAGCAGAGTGCATGAGAAACTGCCAAAGCTGATCTCTAAAGCTGGCAAGAGAAGGTGATCCGAATCTCCTGCCTTTGGATGGAGGAAAAAGCATCCTGCTTGGGGCTTGGATTCTGCTGTGAATCACGTTGTCCATCTTTCTGTCCTGTCTCTGGCAGGTCTATAACCTGACTCAGGAGTTCTTCCAACGAGGTAAACCAGTCAATGCTGAGAGCCAGAACAGTGTGGGCGTCTTTACACGGGACGTAGTGCGCAAACGTGTCAAGGCTGATCCGGATGACACGGAGGCTGTCAAGAGGCTGAAACTAGCCATGATCCAGCAGTACCTTAAGGTATGTGTGCACTTCGTTGTTTTTCTGTTTTAACCAAGAGCCAGCAAACCTTGAACCTTAGACACCTGGCTAAGCCTTGCCCAGGGCTGGGGAATTGCTTTCTGTGGGCTCTTGCAGCTGGCGCCGTTGTGTTTATGTTGTCAGCTTTTCCTCATGAGGCATATCCAAAGACAGTGGCTGCAAGAAATGCCTTTACAATTTTTTAAAAAATATTCTTACCTTAAACTTCTAGGTTTCTAGAAGGGGCTTTCATAGGCCCTGTTAAATTTTCTGGTGTGATTTAATGTTTTCTTACCACCTGAAGCTGCCCTATTGTCAGATTCTTTCAGTAATGTCTTGTCTCATGCCTTACACCTGGGATGCCATGATCCTGCCCGAGTGTCTTTTACCCTCTTCTGCCTTTGTCCATATCTCAGAGACCAGGAAAAGTATAACTTTGATACTAGTAACTTGCTGAAGAAAACCCTAGAAAGCATGTTGAAGGTAAAGCAATAAAATCAAAGGTAGATTATATAAACCCATGTCCTAATCATCTTTCCTCACAGCTTCCCTAGTTCTTTTTATCTCCTTGATGTCTTGGCCTAAATATCTCTGTGGGATGAGGAATGCTGCATCAAGCACTCCACTAAGGTGTAGCAGTCATTCCTCTTTCAGTTATAATGACTTAAAGGCTTATGACATGAGGCACAGGAGGCAAGCAGCACTCTGTGATATGGGTAGGTGTATGGTATTCGCTATGTAGAGGTGGGGAGCTGAAACAAAGAGAATAAAGACCTAAAGAGTCTCACAGGAGATCTGTGGTAAGCTGAGATTTGAACCCAGGCATCCTGAGCGCTGTTCTGATATCTCAGTGCCCTAACCCAAGGGCTTGTATCACAGGGCATCTCCACAGTTGTTACTAGTCAAGACTAGTAATTTATTGTGTTATCCGTGTAACATCACCTGTGTTAGTCACTTGATACAGCCCTGGTTTCCCTGCTGGTTACTTTTGTGGTAGCTACAAGTTGCCACAGGCAGAGCGTTTTCTGCAAGTCTTGCAAATCCCTTCTCATGTGTAAATACCTGAGAACAAGAAAGCCTCTGATACTTAAGACTATCAGATCAGAGTGGTTGCTGACAGAGTGAGGATTAACTGATGTCTCAGGCAAAGCGTAGTCTTGGTAGTTGCCTGTTTTTCTCCCTGGCATTTTTTTTCCTTCATGGTCAAAAGAATCAAGTAGCCATCATTATGTGTTATCTTCTAAATGTGGAGTCTGCTGCTGGAGCATCCAGGCAGGATGAGTGGCCTGTTGTGTGACCCAGGCTGTAGGGTTTGTGTTGTAGGCCAGCAGAACTGACCCTGGGTGAGTGTTGGAGTGCTGCCTCTGCCATCAGATGGGGTGGAACTGCAGAGATGCAGAGGACCTGTCTCCAAGACCTAGCTGCCGACAACCTGGCCCAGCAGTTGTGCCTGCTTTCTTCACTGGAGTCACTGGGCAATGGCCAGGAGGGGCTGTTTGTGAATACAGGAGCAGCCTGTGTACTACTTGGTACAACTTTGACTTGCTTTGCATTTTAGCCCAGCACAGAGATTGCTGCCCTGCACCAGAATGTTCCAGAGGCAGAGGGTCTGGTCTTGCCAGGCTTCCAGACATGGTCATTAAAGGGTGGAAAAGCCTGAAAAATTGGCCAAAGGCTGAAGCAAGGAATTCTCATGTTCCCTTTGCCTAAAATCCTTAAAGAATTACAGTATATGAATCATAGTGGCTCCAGTGATTTGGAGATTTTAAGATCACTGTGTCCCATGCATCAGTATTATCAGTAGAAACTTTTCACAAGACAGGCCAAACATCCTGCCTTTGTTCCAGGGGTTATGGGAAGCTATGGCTATGCCTATTAGTTGGGTAAATATTAACCAATGGTCCCGAATCTAAAGCTTTGATAATCCCATCAAGTGAACCAAACACAAGTGTCTCACGTCTTGGCATTTCCCTTCTCTGTCTCCTTCAGTTCCTTCTGTGTCGGGTCCTCACACCTCCTGCAGATTATTAGCATGCTGATGGCTGACTGTTTGACAGCATGTTGAAAGCTGCAGACAGCAGAAACAGCTGCCAAAAGTTTTTCATGGCTCCTCATGGGAACATTTATTAACATTGGAAAGAGCATGTGATTAACACAGCACCAGCTTCTGTTGTAGGAGCACCAAGCAGCCAGTCCCTGGCCAGTGAAGTGGGTTTTAAATGACAGAAGACAGTCAGAACTGTAAGCCAGAATCATGCAGAAGCAAAAATATCATATCTGTACTCTGGATGATGCGACCGTGGCTGATGCAACCAAAGCTGATGCAGCTTGTTACCATGACAAAATGGTTTCTCTGGTTGGAAGGAAGGCTAAAGATTGATTTTTGTCAGATGCTGTGGCCAAAGGCTTCTTTACTAGCAAAAATTATGTGGTTTAAAAATGATATTCAGGAATCCCCACTCGTGCAGCTCCTCTGTGCCCTTGGAATGTTGGGCTGTGACCAAATGAGTTGCTCTGTGGCAATGTTGCTTTTGTGTTGCTTTTCCTTAGGTAGAGAGTTGTGAGAGCAGCTCCCACAGCATGGATGAAGTCTCGCTCAGTGAATTTGGGGAATGGACCGAGATCCCTGGGGCTCATCACATCATTCCTTGTGGTTTCATTAAAATCGTGGAGATCTTGGCCCGCTCCATTCCCGAATCTGTCATTCAGCTCCGCAAGCCTGTCAAGTGCATCCACTGGAACCAGTCAGTCAGCAAGGAGATTGAGAGGGTGGCTGACCACAACAGTGACCTCCCTGAGGAGGACAAGGGCTCCAATGTCTTCGTAGAGTGCGAGGACTGTGAGTTCATCCCAGCTGACCATGTCATTGTGACTGTATCCCTGGGAGTCTTGAAGAAACGCCACGAGAGCCTGTTTCATCCCCGCTTGCCCGAGGAGAAGGTGATGGCCATTGAGAAACTGGGAATCAATACAACTGACAAGATTTTCCTGGAGTTCGAAGAGCCGTTCTGGAGCTCTGAATGCAACAGCATCCAGTTTGTCTGGGAAGATGAGGCAGAGAGTGAGAGCTTGACTTACCCTGAGGAGCTGTGGTACAAGAAGATCTGCAGCTTTGATGTACTCTACCCACCAGAGAGGTACGGCCATGTCCTGAGCGGCTGGATCTGTGGAGAAGAGGCTTTGATTATGGAGAAGTGCGATGATGAAACTGTGGCAGAAACCTGCACCGAAATGCTACGTAAATTTACAGGTCAGACATACTCTGGTTCATTTGGGGTCTAGAGAAGAGAGGGGGAGTGGGGCTGGGATGTTGAATAAACACTAGGAAGGAAATGCACTGAAGTAATTTTTAGTTTTTTGCTATTATATGACCCTTTGAATGGGGGGTGTGTGTGCTTCCAGCATGCCTCCTGCTTGGGTGTGCCTGCAAGCTATTTATACAGAGGAGCTGATAACCAGCTCAGGAAGTGGTGGGCAGAAGTGCTTGAGGATTCCACATCCTCTGCTTTATTTAATCACAGATAACTCTTCAGGAGCTGGAGCTGCTGGACTCAGTACTATGGAGGACTACTCTCTGCTGTGGAAAGCAGCACAGCTCTTTTAGAGCCAGTGGAATTGGACCTGTTTAGATCAGCTGAGGTGTAGTGGTTGAATCACATCCCTGACTTCCATTCAACATGAGTCTATGTGGAAATCTCGTTGGCCTAAATCTCCATAGATTTTGAGAATTTTTATTTCTGGGTGGTTCACCTAAACCTTCCTGAACCTCACAGGTTTTACATGTACTGAGTACACATCACACTAAAGGCAGCATTTGGAGCAAGACAGATCTTAAGTGTATTATGCCGATAAAATCCGAGATTAAATCACTAAAACCAGTAGTTACTTGAACAAGATGGGCCTTAGTTTGTCTGAAGTCACTTCTCTAGAGCTTCCACGTCATCCCAAGGAAGAGGCTTTTTGTCTCTATGGAGTTATTTGGGATCCTCTGATGGTAAACACTGTATAAGTTCAAATGTAAGCTAGTAATGCTGAAAGAAATAGTGACTGACCTATTTGCAGTCTTGAAACAACGATTTTGATTTATACATAATTATAAGCAATTGTAAGAATAAGATTAGGTGTATTTTATAGAATCGCAGAATCATCTGGGTTGGAAGGGACCTTAAAGACCATTCAGTTCCAACCCCCCTGCCATGGGCAGGGACACCTTCCACTAGACCAGGTTGCTCAAAGCCTCATCCAGCCTGGCCTTGAACACTTCCAGGGATGGGGCATCCTCAGCTTCTCGGGGCAACCTGTGCCAGTGCTTCACCACCCTCTCCGGGAAGAATTTCTTCCTGATATCCAATCTAAACCGCCCCACTTTCAATTTAAAGCTGTTACCCCTTGTCCTATCACTACAGGCCCACTACAGTATTTTATGCTGTTCTAGAGATGGGTCCCATGATTAAGCTATTTATACCTGCCAGCTACCTCATGCTAGCCAAGTCTCAACACCCGGTGGGTTTCCAGCTACCAGCAACACGGAGATGCAGAGAAAGGGGCCTGGCAGCTGAGGGCTGCCTGCATAGCTGGCTGCGGCCAGAAGAGGTTTTATGTTTTACTACTCTCCAGAAATCATAGGTTAGACTTTGGATTCAGAGACCAAAACTGAACCCTTGTTTCAGCTTGTTCCATGTTGCATTTATGTGGGATGATGAACCTGTGGCTCCCTGGCAGCCTGCAGAGAAGTGGGACGAATCAGTGAACGCTGGACTCTGGGCAGCTTCTGCCGCCTGAGCGGTTTGCGTTCAGTGGTGTTGGGTATCCCCATGTTATTACACACACCTTTTTTCCTCCTGACCTTGGCAGCCAACTGCTGCCCTACGCAGGCATACCAGGAGGCCAGTCTCCTCTTCAAGGCCAAGTTGTTCCAGTGCTGACCTCTCCCAGAGTGTATAAACAACCTTGTCTGCTGCGGCTCTTCTTGCTTAAGACCTCTTCGTTGTGTAATTTTTTTTAAACACCTCAATTCATCAGCGGGAATTTGTCTCTTAGGGTCTTCCTTAGTTTTGCAAATGGGAGTGTACTCTCCCTCTTCCTTCTTGGGCTCCTTCACTGTCACTATTGTTTGCATGTGTTGGATGTTCCTCTGTTCCTCCCAGGATGGAAATACGTTGGCACTGGGTCATCAGTATGTGCTGCAGTTGCTCTTCCAGCTGATACTGCACCTGGTCGCTGCCCATCAGACTCTTTGGCAGTGTGAGCTCTCTCTCAGCCTTCTAATCCTGGGTTATCTAACCCTGGGGAATTTCACACTGAGGTGGCCTCTCAGCTGCTCAAAAAGGGGAGAAGAAAACCTGTTTGTGGAGCACCTATTACACAATGTGACCCATTCCACTTTCTGCCCCAAAAACTTGTTAGTTTATAGAAAACCTTTTCCCAGATCTTTCAGGATGGCCTTGCTAAGAGAGCTGGGTTTGTCCTGTTACCCTTGCTCCCGTTTTCCCTGGCAGGTTCACAGAAGAAGCAGTACCTCAAGGCTAATCTGGACCAGGTGCCAGGCAGGCCGAAATAGCAGTAGCGTGCTCAGCTCTCTGTGCACCTACCGTCTTCTCCATGTGCTTCATCAGGGGTGTGACAGTGGTTAGACCAGCCAGGGGGTGGGGGGACAAAGCAGCCTTCTGCCTGAGGTCTAATTGCAGTCATTTCTGAAAATTGGACTCGTCTGGTCCAATTAGCACCACCAAACCCAGCTTTTAAAGCGTTTCCCACCACACAACTTCATGTAAGTCATAGAATCACAGAGTTGTTTGGGTTGGAAGGGACCTTAAAGATCATCTAGTTCCAACACCCCTGCCATGGGCAGGGACATGTTCTACAAGACCGGGTTGCTCAAAGCCTCGTGAGCCTTTGAGCCTCATGCTCAGTCAGCTAACTGAGTTGGGAAACTAGTCTTCTAGGGTAACTGCCACTTCGATAAGGCACCTCACTTGGTGCTCTGTGCCATCTTCTGAAGAAGCTTTTCTCTACTGAGTATGGAGAGAGCCTGATACTCAGTAATGACAGGAGGTAGCATGAGCCTTTTAGTGCTCACTTTGCCTTTTGTAGCTTTCATGTTCTGGGTTTTAAATCCCCTACGTTCTTATTTCTTATTCTTCGATTAAAGAATTAATGTGTTACCAGGTGAGTTCTCATCTTCAGCTGTGTTTTCCCAGCCCGTTGCTCACGGAGGCCTTTGCTCTGGCTTCAGAGGGAGTTACACCAGTCCTGTGTTGAATCCATTCTTTTTGACTCGTGCTGAGAATTTCTCTCCGAGAGGTGACTTTAAATTTCACACGCAGGTTAGTGTTGAGGATTATCTGGCTTTGCTGTGAAAAGCTCTGGGGATTGTTCTAACCTAAGAACCACTGACAATTACTGGGTTTTTTCACTGGATGGCTGAAAAGCAGTGTCCTCCTAAATCTGATTAAATGGGATGCCTTTGAACAATTGGAAGTCTTGCTCTGCTTTCTTTGTCGGCTAAGCTCCGAGTGCTAGAAGCCAGAAGGTGGTAGTTGCACACCTGCTCCCTTCTGAAGGACTCGCTGAGTTGTCAGGCTGTGGCTGGAGATACCCTGAGTTGTTTCCCCCGTCCTCCAGCTCTTTCTCTACAGGGGAACAGGTCTCTTTTAGGATCTGTGTCACATCTTCCAGACCCATGCGGATGCCTGGGATACCCTAATGTCTCTCCAGTGGCTGCAGACACTAATGTGTGGGTAGTATCACAGGTCTTTGTTGGCCTTGATGGGATCTTAGATACCCCGCTCTTTGGTAGGCTACTAAATTTGGGTGTCTTGATTTAGATCTGTGAGTTGACGTAATGATAATCCTGTGTCTCGTAATCAGCCCCATAACCAATAAAGCTATGTAGCCACAGCTCCCAGTAGCTGAATAAAGACAGGATTGCTTGAGGCACATGGAGTTATCTTCCATAGCTTCACAAGTGGAAATCTGTGGCATAAAGATATGTGTCCTCCTATTTTAGTGAAGGCTAGGATCTTTTTTTTAGCCATTTTATCTCACTTTGGACAGTGGAAACTTAGAATTTTCCACATCTGTATGAATTGTTACTTTTATCTGTAGGCAAAGGCACGTGTTTACCCATCTATTTAAGAACAGATTGAGGAAGTCCAATTTAATACGTTCCTTGAGTGAGTGTGGCCCTCTCCATCTTTGTAGTCTCTGTTTTGCAAACAACAGTTCAGGATCAGAGCTTGTGTTACGTGTTCCCATCTGTCCTTCAACCAAACTCTTTATCTCTGTGTGCAGCAGAAATGAAGGCCTGATTTTTCTCTTAGAAACAGCTCCTCACCTTAAAAGAATCAGAAGTGCAGGGTCACAGTAGCTGCACAATGGAAACTTGGATCATGCTCACACGGTCTGAGGTGCTGGAGAACCTTAAAGGATCTCCTGAGAGCTGGTACGTCTGCACCACACAGCATAGTGCTGGGGAAGGGGGCTGGCTTCGGTTCTGGGAGCTGTGCAGCTGCGTTTTAGTGTACACAGGCTCCTCAGCCCTGCTCCAGCCTGGCAGCTGGCTCAGGCGTCTCTGCATGAAGCTCTGCCATCTGCCCACGGCCACATGCTTCACGTTGCTGTGCTGCCGTTTCCCTTGGGATGAAGTTGCTATGTGAAAAGTAATTCCCCAGTGGGAAGACTGCTGTTTACCTGCTTGTAGAGCCAGTCCAAGGTCATCCGTGGGAAACGCTGGAGAGGGACAAAGCTGTTGCTTTCACCAGTCTGAGCGATTGCTCTATTAAGTATTGCCGATTTATACAATTGTTAATTGGATTTGTTAACCCTTTTGTTAACAAATTGCAGTCTTTTAGCAGATCCATGGCGTTATCTGCAGGCTGACAAGCCCTCATCTCTTTGCTTGTAATAATGCTGTGTGTTCCTAACATTAATCATCTTTTTATCAGCATCTTGTTGACTTCCTTATTGAAAATCTCCTGGGTACCTTGACAGTGGAACATGAGAACACGCCCCAGGTACAGAAGAGGCACCACCAGCCCAGCGCAGAGACTCCTTTTGTTTGACAGTGCATTGTGTGGTTTGTGTAGTGCAATGTGATGGATGACTGCTTTGCCCCTGTTTGGTGGCGTGTTGTCTAACAGCTGTCACGGTGTGTTCTCCTGGGCTTTCCCACAGCCCTTAAAAATAAAACGTGATAACTTATTTCCTTGACGCATCTGAGCGCTCCCTGTTCTCAGACTCCCTTGTTCCTGCTTTGAAGATTCTTGGAGAAGTGTATTTGAGAGGCTTTGTTATGCTGAGTTGTTACTCCTGAAACAACATTCAGTTGTAGGATGTATTTTGTTTGTAGGGTATATTTATTTGCTAGTCTGTGACATATTTTGATGTAGGGGTTAGTGGTTAGAAAGTGTTCACAGTGTGCTCTGGCAAGCCATCCAGCTGCCTTTGCTCTGTTTCAGCGCTGTATTTCATGGTTCTGGTTGACACATGATACTCCTAAAAGCGGTGGCTGAACCAGGCAAGTAACCTGCTCCTGATTTTAAGGAGTTGAGGGCATGACTAAATAATTGTTTGGTAGAACTAAATAATGTCATGCCTAACTAGTTTTTACAGTTGGATGTCTCTAAGCCAGGATGAAGAAAGCGGAGGAATTTGGATCGTATTCAAAGCAGCCTAAGCATGCTGAGGTGTTGTGGAGTCAGAGTCTGAAGCAGACACAGGAACTGTGCGAGATGCAAACATGTCTCAGTGCTCTTCCTTCTTGTGCTGATGGTTTCTCAGGATGATAGAATCTCCTAGGTTGGAAAAGGCCTTTAAGACCATCAAGTCCAACCATTAACCCAGCACTGCCAAGCCCACCACTACACCATGTCCCTGAGCACCACATCCACAAGTCTGTAAATCCCTCCAGCGATGGAGACTCCACCACCTCCCTGGGCAGCCTGTTCCAACGCCTGACAGCCCTTTCTGGGAAGAAGGCTCAGACTCAACCTAAGTAGCTGGACCTTGCCTGGATATGTGAGGCTGCCTCAAGGGTGGGTGTTGTGGTTTAACCTCGGCTGGCAATAACCTACCATGCAGCTGCTCACTCACCTCCCCCTGCCTCCTCTAGGAGGAGAATCAGAGGAAAGAGACAAGGAAGCTTGTAAAATTGAGATAAGAACTATACAATAATTGAATATAAATTCATTATAGTGATACTAATAGCATTAACACTACTACTAATAAGTAATTAAAATAATAGAAAATAAAACATATTATACAATTGCTCACCACCTGCCGACTGATACCCAGCCAGGTCCTGAGCAGTGACAGTCATAACTAGAGAGCGTGAGAGCTGGAGCCCAAGAGCCACTGCAGCAAGCCCCTCACCTCTAGGTCCTACATCCTCTTAGTAGTGGAAATCCTACAGCAATCTAGAAGTCCCATTTCCAACATCAAAAGCCTTCTTTCCATGCCATATGCAGCACACAAAATGAATCTGCTGCATTTCAGGTTCATTTGGGGAGCAACTAGGTAGCAGTTGGAGTAGTAATACAGGTTTTGAGATCTTTCAGACAGGTTTTCCTGTATTTTCCTCAGTAACAGAAAATAGGTTTGCTTTAGGGCCTCTTCCCTACAGCCTGCAGGGATTTATTTTCAATAAATCATACTGGATACACGCCACCCCACATCTTGCACAGACATTGCCATGTTTTCTGTCGGACACGATCTTACTCTTTGTCTTCTGCTTTCCACCTAGGGAATCCAAACATTCCGAAACCTTGCCGGATCCTGCGGTCCTCCTGGGGCAGCAATCCCAACTTCCGTGGATCCTACTCTTACACCCAAGTTGGGTCTAGTGGAGCTGACGTAGAGAAACTCGCTAAACCACTGCCTTATGCTGAGAGCTCCAAAACTACTGTAAGTATGTCCCGAATCAGCTCTGCAGCAAAGACTGACGTGATGCTGGGTAGTGGGTCTGCGGAGAGGGAGGCTGGAAGAGGCAATCTCTCATTCGGCCTCTGGTAGCGTTTCTTAGCGGTTTTTTTTATACATACCCCTCTGGACAAATGATGTGTCTGTAGGATTTTACCTCTGGAACATGTGGAATGCCAACGTCTCAGGGATTTCCACATCCCTCTCTGAAATTATCAGGAGCTGCTCAGCTGTGTGGCTTTTGGAACTGTGATACCTGCTTTTAATGACTATTAGCCTTATGGGGCAGTTCATAATTCCTCAGGAAAGCATCTGTTACTCTGTTTTAAAGCACAGTCTGAATATGTAGCGTTAAATACATGACCTTGCTAATGTCTGGGTCTGAATGTGTCAGAGGTGTGTATGAGGAAATCTTGCTGTTGGCAGCAGAGGGTGAGGGAGGCCCAGTCCTTGGCTGAGGACTCGTGCATTGGCAGAGGACAAGGAATTTGCTCCTCAGACACTGCCTTTGCTTTCTGGATATAGCAAGTAGAGCAAGAGCACACATGGAGATAGTCAGAGCAGCCCAGCTGATGAGCAGTAACACACTAAGCCAAACTCACCCCATCACTCAGGGTTATGTCTCCAAATCCAAAGACAATGATGGCTGATGAGTATGTGTCGTGGTTTAACTC